TAAATATTTTTCTTCTTTCCCCGGTTTATCTTACTATTCAAAATTTTGCGTGCTTTTTATACCTGAAGGATTATTAAAGTCAGAGAAAATATCAATTTGTTCCAGAGTTTCATATGTTACGAGCTATGACAGTTTGAATTTGTGCAATTTTCAATTGACGAACAATGCAAATTAGGTGACGAAGGTGGTCTTGAGATTATGGGGCGTAAAAAAATTATTTTGACGAATTTCGAAAAAAGAAAGCCACTGTGATTACATACTTATAATTGCCTTTTGATGGTAGGAGTTTGAGAGAAATTTATTTTCTKACCCGAAATGCAGTAGACCGCTTTTACAGAGATTGCCTCTTAATCTTGAAGGGCAACGGCCAGAGCAGACTTGAGGTAACATGGCGAACACCTGTCTACGTAAGTTATCCATGTACCAGCAGTAGAAAAATGGATGGGACGCAGAGTTTAGGAGGATTAAAAATACTGTGAAGTTATAAACGATAGATCCATACTTAGCATCGGGATGAAAGTAAATCATGGTATAAAAGRTGTAGTTCGGAGCACGACACACCATGTGTACARCGGTCATTAAAATCAGCATCTTAGTGACTCKCTTCCTGGCGTTAATTCTCGCTGTTCGTGAGACTTCACTTCCAYTCTTGTCCYTTTTCCAAAGACTGTATAAAATGATGGAATAGATRATAAACATTGTAAAAACTGAAAAATTTCCCGCGCAGAACGCAAGTCCAACGTAGGCTTTCGGATTGACCMACCTTGGCCAATTCTCCATGCAAAAGTTTYTGTCGTGGTCATACTTCAGTACAAGTTGACTTGGAAGGTTAAACAGGAGTGAAGATATCCAACATGCAACRACAAGCCATTTTAGCCTTTGTTTAGTAATCCGAAGCTTTGATTTGTGTGGAAAGACCACGGCAAAAAGTCGCTCCAGACCTATGATTGTCAAAAACCCACTTGATGCTGTGACAGATGTCCAGATAAATGATCCACCGGTGGCCAGTCGACAGATGAAATCACTAGAAGTGTCATTAGGGTAGATAATCGCATAGCTCAGAATATGTCTTGGGACTATAAAAACTCCAATCACAATATCTGTTATAGCGAGGTGAAAAATGAGCAAATTCATTGGAGTCTGTAAAGACCTTTTACGATGAATCGCCAAGCACAGTACAACGTTGACAAAGATGTCGATGATGACGAAGATTACAAAGAAAAACGTCAAAGCGATGTCCAAATCCGAGATCATTTTCCAGATTTTCGTGGGCAGTCCGTCGTCGCTTCGTCTTGCCTTATGGTTAAATTTCGGCTGAACTAAAACACATTATATTAAATCGAGCCGTTAATATAAGTAGGTAAGTAAAGAGGAGGTTGGGGTTTTAGAARTGTTTTGTTTCGGTGTGTTTTCCTTCCTGTATTCCTCTTCAGCGACGACTTTTGAGCTGAATCAGCATGTTTTGATTTTAATTAAACTGCGACATAACTTCCCCCGACTTCTCACTTGACCRTCACTGATCTTTGTGCTCCTCATAATCTCATTATTTTCCGGAAACTTTTTGCCTGGCATGACCAGGCATATTTATTGTTCTATAACCCCATCTTTTGCCCATACAAAATATAAATATTGTATAGTATACGAAATGAATTTGGCTATTCATAATAAAAATTTACTTACCTGACTTGATTACTGAATTCTAAACGACGACTTTCCGCCACAATTTCCAACCAGAATTTCCATCATTATTATTACTTTAATTGAAGAGGTGGTCAAGTTCTCTCTTAGTAGCTGCGTTACATGCATCTAGATGTTTAGGTAACGCCGGTGGATTGCAGGTTATTCTAGTACTTGTGTTATTGTTCCTAAATGGTCGTCCACATTAAGTTTCATTTAGAGCAGAAACATTGATCGACGTCTGTCAATAATCCAATCACTTTGAAAATGTAGTTATAGCAATTATGTTTGATTCATCATTCATTGATGGTTTAAGAAATGTCAACTAAAATAATAGATTTGTCYAGTTAGGTCAGTCTTTGTCCACACGGCAGAGTGCTTTGTCTTGACGTGAACCGCTGCTCTGGTAGATGCGGTCACGTGCTGGTTCTCAAAATGATTTTAGCGTTCATCACCATTTTCGATTATTGCATTACATTGTAAGCACGTTTGAAAAAGATGTCGCGAACTCACTTTGAAGTGTAGTTATYTAAATGTTTTTGCGTGAAACGTTCACGAAAACCGAATTGTATAAAATTCCAAGTAATTTATCCGCCYGCAACAGTTGTTGAGGGAAAGTTGTTGAGGGAAGACAGTTTCTAAGACGGAATATTAAAATTTGATTGATGTCAGTTGGTTCGTTAGTTAATTGAGTAATGAGCGTTGTTTGAATTGAAGTATTTGTTTTGATTGGAATCTCTTTYTGCTATTACTCCTGACTGTTTGTTTAAGAATTAAAAGTAGATGTTGGCTAATCCATGAATAAAAGACGGTACCTTCCGCAAAGCAGTAATTGTTTGCATCGTCACGAGCTGAAACTTCCTGAGGCGCAGGCTTTGTGGGGCTTTGTGCGCTCTGAAAAGCGCAATTGTGATCCTACACACTTCCCGGAACTCAAAGATCTACTAACCAAAGGTTTAGCGCGGCCACATCGCACCGGCCGGACGCACATTTCCGTTTGACTCCGTTATAGCGGCTGCGAACTGCATTTTAGCATCATGCCATTAAAAGCCTTTTAGATCCACAGTGCCAAGCGCGCATGTGCAAACTTTGTTTCAACGCTATTATGTTTTCGACCCCACTTATATTTTAGTCATTAGTCATAATTATATTTTTTAATGTAAATATATATTTGACATGTTCGCGTAGCTATAGCAGCTATAAACATTCAAAACTTTGCGAACTAAATAGTGTTCTTACAAATATAGCGACTTACAAATTGATTAAATATTCGTCGCTGCACCGCTAGCAGTTGTAACTTGCAATAATTTGTCGGAAGGCACTAGTCACAGAGCAATTTCAGTAAAAAACAGCAACATTAAGAGCAATAAAAACACCTACCAAACATTGAGATGAGCGTTGAATCGAAGTTCCCCGTATTTGCTAATGGCAACACTTTCAGCAAAGCTATGTCAACAATCTTTCATTTAAATTGCAATTTGCTTCAGTAAGAGTACCTTGCGAGCAGAGTGTTATTTACCTTAAATACCTCAGTAAAAAATTCACGTGCTCGCAGCCAGGGTACAGTGGGTGATTGCTGTTTTTTTTT